GCGCCACCGGGCCGGCCCGTGCTTAAGAAATTCTAATTGGGGCCGGCCCGGTGGCACACTGGAGAGTGCGCCGCTTGGGAGCACGGCGACGCTCCTGCCGAGGGTTCGGATCCCATGTGGAGACCAGTTCCCGCTCACTGGCTGAGTGCGGTGCAGGCGCAACACCGAGGGTTGCTATCCCGTTGCCTGTCAGTAAAAAAGACAAAAAGGAAAAAGGAAAAAAAAAAAAAAAAGAAATTCTAATTGGCATCCAAATCTATATGCATTAGCAAACATGTTGTGTTGTTGACTTCAAAAAAAAAAAAGTTTGGCATTTCATGGAACACAGGGAGAAGGACGTAAGAAACAAAGTAAAGACTGCTTCCCAGTTATTGATCCCCAGCTTTCATGTAACATTCAATTACAAAAACAGGTATTAGACCCTAAAGTTTGTGAAGGGAATATGTGATCAGCACTTCAAACAAAGCTATAAATTACTCCATGAATTATAGTGATAATACACAAAATGACATGTGAATTATAAAAGGTACCTTGGTTGTCTACCTCCTACCAAAAAAGCAGCTGAAAATCTGAAATTGCTTATCAAGAGAGAAATTATCAAGAAAGGAAATCATCTCTCCTTGGATCCCTAGTCACTTGCAGCTGAGGGAAGGAAGAAACTGGCAGAGAGCAAGAGCTCTCAAGCACCATAAACTATGCCAGGCAATTTTACATACTTACTTCATTTTCACGCCCTTATAAGGTAGGCATTGTCACCAGAATTAGAGATGAAAAAACAGGCTCAGATAATTATTTGTCCAGAGTTACACAAAGCCACGCTTTTCTTCCCAAGGCACTCTTAATATCAATAGCCCTAAATAAGAGTGCAAAGGTTACAGAACAGGGTTTTCTGATCCCGTTATCCCAATGTTCAAATCCCATGGGCCCTACCTCTCCTCTCCCTTAAAACATAGTAGTGTTGGGCCGGCCCATGGCTCACTCAGGAGAGTGCGGTGCTGATAGTACCAGGGCCACGGGTTCGGATCCCATGTAGGGATGGCCGGTTGGCTCACTGGGTGAGCGTGGTGCTGACAACACCAAGTCAAGGGTTAAGATCCCCTTACCGGTCATCTTTTAAAAAACAAAAACAAACAAAAAAAAACATAGTAGTGTCTTTTACGATTATAAGTAAAAGTATCTCCCCCAGTAACTGGAAATCACTCTTTGGAAAAAAAAATTGTAACACCCAAAACAATCCCTAAAACAATTTTTTTTTTCCCCCTTTTTGTCTTTTTTCGTGTCCGGCAACGGATCGCAACCCTCAGTNATAGTCAATAAAAGGTAGAAAACATTAAAACTGGTAATTTATACCACGAGTCACAAACCAGTGTTAGTTTATTCATTCATCAAATATTGAGCGCCTTCTCTGTGCCAGATCTTTTTCTAGGTTGCTGGAAAACAGCAGAAAACAAAACACGCAAAATCCCTGCTTTCAGAGTGTACTTTCTAGTGGAAAGACAAAAATAAAATAAAATAAATATAATATCCAAGTGGTAAGAAGTACCATGAAGAAAATACAGCAGGGAGAGAGAGAGAGAGTGACTGAGGCAATGTTTTAGTTGGGTAGGAGAGGTAACCTGTGAGGAGTTACATTTGAGTGGAGACCTGGATGAATGGAAGGAGAGCCAAGTGAAGATCGGGAGAATCAGGTTCCAGGCAGAGGGGTGAGCACAAAGGTGCTGAGGCAGGTATATACTTGTGGTAAGGAACAACAAGAGATTCTGTCTGTAAACACAACACTAACAAAACCCAGTTCCTTATAAATAATTTAATACAAACAGGGTTCATGGCTGCTGCTTTTTTCAGTGCTAAGTAAAAGAGGCAGAATAGAGACTAAAACCTAGACAGCCATTCTCCAGGCCCAGCTTCCTGGAGTGGGGCTGAACCGGCCTTTCTCTGACTGACCATCCAAAGGGGGGCACTTTGGTCCACCTAGAGGGGCTGCCTTTTCCTAATTTGCACAAAGGTACCACATAGGCCACCTGCAGTCCCTTCAGGATTTCCCTCTCAGTGGAATTTATTATGCCTACAATCATCAAAGCTGTATTAAAAGGCCTGTCCATGGAGAAATGAGAATACACTAACTCCTTAAACTAGATTCTATAATGACATTCACTAAAAGGGGGTTATAGTATGAGATAATCACAACTTTCATTGTTCTTTATCTCAACATTGATAAATTTTTAAAAATCTAATAAGTTAATATAAGGCCATGTGATAGACACTGGATTTGGATTCTGAAGACCCAAGTACAAGTCACAATTGTGCCGTTTCCCCCAAAGTCACACAGCTTACAGATTAATGTAACTTCAGTTTCCTCATTTTTAAAGTGAGTATAATGAACACTACCCTATCTTACCAGACTACTGTGATAAATTCTACTCAAATGGAACCATTTTTTCTTACTAGAATATCACGTAAAAAAGTATAAAAGCAAATGTAATCATATTATAATAAAAGCAAGCAATGTTTTTATTAAGAAAAAATACCTTGTGAATATCAATAGACTTTAAAGGTTAAAAAATCAAATAACAATATTAGGCTTCCACATTAAAAAAAGTTCATTGCTGCTGAGGAGTTCCATCTGTTCCTGCTGCTTATAACCCACCTAAAGGGTTAAAAAGTGCCATGTAAAATTATGACTTTATTTAAGTTTTGTTTTCTGCTTCTTTCATGTTGTATTGTAAGCATGCATCATGTTTATTATGATTCACTTATAACACTATTTTGTTGATTTCTTTTTTAAAATTTGGAATAAAATAATTTGTAATAAAAATGATAATCATTTATTGTTAAAAAATAAAATTAAATTAAATTTAAAAATAAAGGCAGAGAATAGAACAGTGGTTACCAAAGACTGGGAGGGAAAGGCAGGAGGAAGGAAAACAGGGAGAGGCTGGCTAATGGGTACAAAATTACAATTAGGTAGAGGAAAAAGTTCTGATATTCTATTGTACAGTAGGGTGATTATGGTCAACAGTTAAGTTTTGTACATTATGTAAAAGCTAGAGGAGAGGTTTTTTTTTTTTTTTGTCCTTTTTGTGACCGGCCGCACCGTGCTCAGCTAGGGAGCACATCGCACTGGCCATCCCTATATAGGATCCAAACCCGCGGCGGGAGCGCTGCTGCACTCCCAGCAC